GCAGACCTCTCCTGATGCCGACTCCTCAGCACTGTACTTAAGTAGATCCTCCTGTTCTGTCTCTGATGAGTCCGTACAGCTCTGACCTACACCCCAGTTCTTGTTGCGTAAATAAATAAATCTTTCAAAAAATGGCATTGGCTCACATGTCTCCTGAATTGATGCCCTGAACACATGGCATCATTTCTGTGGTTTCCTGCCCCAAAAGTGCATAAGTGGAACAAATTCTAAGCATACCTAAATTTAGGAAGAGATACAAATATATAATCTGGATTCTTTCATGTCAATACAGGTCCTCCTATTACAGGGTAGCCCAGAGTGGACTGGGCCACCTGTCTCTGGGGCCTCACCCACGCGCTCACAATTCGGTTACACTGCAGGTACACACAAAAGGGTCAATAACGGGTTTATTTACAAAAGAGGAAAGGAATAGGAAACAACCCAGGGAAAGAGAGAGGGATACAAAGTAACTGGAATACCTTACAGCTAGGCTAACTGAACACACCAAGTCATGCGGTCCGGAGAGCCACTTCCGGAGCAAGAGAGTAAGAGCTGCAATCGTGCCCTATTTATCCCCCAAATGTCCCAGAATTCCTGCTAGCTCCACCCTTGGGTCCTCGCCGTTCTCTCCCTGTTACTGCTGAGAGTTGTAGTTTCCAGGCACTGGAGTAGGGTGTAGGGTCCAGAAAGCTGGAGTAGGGGGTGGAGTCCATAAGACTCTGCAGAGTTCCTTTAGGACATCCTTCCCCTTAACAATTCCCCACTTTTGATTTCATACCACGATATCTATGGTGGCACAGATCACAGGGTGTAGTCTTCATGACAGTCTCTGTAACACTTCCAGTCTTTGAAAGGTTTCCAGCATATGTAAAAGAAGCAGCAGTCACCAGCAGTGTTTATGAATGCCCAGGATGATAGTCATTACTGTAAAATAGTCCATCATTATAGGTGAAGAAAAAAAATGTTGCAATATATGCATATCAAAAATAACAAGAACAAGCAAAAATCTTCAAAACTGGTTTAACTTCTGTAAAAACAAGTTCTCTCAACCTTGATGCCAACTTAATCTAATAATGTATAACATATTTACAAATTCAAGCTAATATTTAACCATATTTCTATTTTTGCATAAAATCACAGGGTAGACTAACCAAAGAGCAATTTTTCGTTGGCTTTGTTGGAACAGTCCATAGTATCAGAGCAAACAGTCAATGTCCAGTTGATGTAGGCTTCAAGAACAATATCAGTTCCAGCAGATTCCACCTGGGGTCACCTCTTCTCGAGGTTACCAGCACTCAATATTGTCCAGTCCAGGTTGTCCAGGCCTGTCAATGGAGGCAAGCTTCCTCACCTTCCTTGGAGGTCCCTGGAACCCTACAAACAAAGCAGCAGATGCTCATCTTCTTCATTCAGCTCTGTTTGAAGTTCCTGGAGAATGCCAAGCAAAGCCACTGAAGCACATTGCCAATTTCTATAGTTTATACATACGAAATACCCTGTTGAAGTTACGCAAAAAGACTCATGAGTAGTAAAAAGTACTACTACAGTTTTTATACTGTGTTGGTATTAAGGGGAGAGAAGAAGTAGGAAAAAATTAGCTCTGTTGAAAAAAAAGAATATTATTGTAGATTTTGGTCATTTAAAGCAAGAAAACTGTCTTTGAATTAAATAAATATGTCAGCAGTATTTCAAACAAAACTTACTGAGAAAAAAATTGGTCAAAGTCATAGTGGTAAACATCAGCAAGAGCTGAATACAAGGGGGAAAAGAAGTTCTCATGACCTGAAATAAAAAAGCCATGTGTCCTGCAGACCTAATGTGCTTACGGTGACTAACGCAAGGTACTTGAGCTGGTCAACTACAGGTGAAATTAGTCAGGCCCCACCTTGGGCGTCAAAAACTGTTACAGGGTAGCCCAGAGTGGACTGGGCCACCTGTCTGTGGGGCCTCACCGGTGTGCTTACAATTTGGTTACACTGCAGGGACACACAAAAGGGTCAATAACGGGTTTATTTACAAAAGGGGAAAGGAATAGGAAACAACCCAGGGAAAGAGAGAGGGATACAAAGTAAGTGCAATACCTTCTGGCTAGGCTGACTGAACACACCAAGTCACACTGTCTAAAGAGCTGTTTTGTCAGCGAGAGAGCGAGAGATGCAATTGCACCCTATTTAACCCTCAAATGTCCCAGAATCCATTCCTGCTAGCTCCGCCCTTGGGTCCTCAGTTCTCTCCCTGGTACTGCTGGGAGTTGTAGTTTCCAGTCCCTGGAGTAGGGTGTAGGGTCCAGAAAGCTGGAATAGGGGGTGGAGTCCATAAGACTCTGCAGCGTTCCTTTAGGACATCCTTCTCCTTAACACTCCCTCGTGGAACAGCACTATGAAGCTATCCGCAGCCACTACAGCATGAGTGCCATCCCCAGCCAACCTGGGAGCTGACCGACATGGCACGGCAAACCTCTCCTATATCACCACTGCTCCCCTCAGCAGTGAATTTCAGTCAATCTGCCTGTTCCCTACTCAGTCTCTGGTGAATCCTCTCACCCCCAACATCTCTAACCTGTACCCCAGTTCTTGTGTGCATAAATAAATAAATCTTTAAAAATAAAAATATATATATTTTGGGG